GCAAATTTGCACTTTGCTCTCCTTTTCTGAAACAACTGCCACATCCTCCTGTGCACCAACCAAGATGAAGAGAAATTTACAGTAGGCTGTTGCCATTTTATCCAAAAGTCATTCTCCTGTGTCCTTCATCTTGGCCAGACTCATGATGTCTTGTCCCATTGCACTGAGCAAGTCCAGAGTTTGGAAAAGCAAAAAGACTAGGTAGGGCTGGGTGTCAGAACACCTGGCTCAGGTGAGAGAGCTCTTCACTACAGGAGGTAGTTAGGTGATAGGCAGAGATGATGTGGATGAAACCTAAGGTATCTTCAGCCATCAGAGCCAAAGGATCTATGGCAAAGGGTTACCTCAGAGGGAAGGAGTCCTTAGAACTTCTTCCCTGGTAATGGCCCCTGACTGGTTTCTAATCCTCCTGACTTTGGCCACTGGTATTGAGGTGACCACCAAGAATCTGTTTTTGTCACTAGTTTTGCAATCATGAGCAAATCACTAGCATCACGTTTGTCTTTTTTCCTTCCTTCCTTCCTTCCTTCCTTCCTTCCTTCCTTCCTTCCTTCCTTCCTTCCTTCCTTCCTTCCTTTCCTTTGTTTTTATGATGGGGTAATGATCCATTCAATTGATATTCAGTGACTATTAAAGTACACTAATGGGGATTCTGAAAATGGCTGACAAGTAAATACAGTAAATGCTTTCTGTGAAGGAATCAGACAAAACAACAGTTCTGCATGGGACAATGGGGTGGGAAAGGTGTGGGAAATTGCCAGAAGGCAACTCAGAGATCTAGCAACCAGTTGAAAGCAACAGATATTGGGTTTGGGAACAGAAAGAAAATTAACAATCAGAATAAACTGCAGAAGCACCAGGTCTGTGGGATCCTTCAGTGGGGGAGGGAATGTCCTCTTATTGACCTGCAGGAACTTTATAAGGAGGCTCTGCTGTGCAGGAAATTCAGTTTGACCAGGAAAAATGCTTAGATATTGTGAAGTGTGCTGGTGCAGGAGAGAGTATTGGCACTTCCCAGCATATTTAATGAAAATGGGGATGCTGTACCAGCAGCATAAATAGATTGAATTTTCTGAGCAGGAGATTAAAAATCCCTGCATTTTCCTTTCTTTTTCTTTTTTCTCTATTTATGCATCTGTGTATTAATGTATGTAAGGATGTAATTTTTGCCACACTGGGGACTGAACCCA